GTCGTGTTCTTCATTTTCATTTCATATTATCTTAACGGATAATGTCGTGTCAAACTCGTTATCTTAACGGGTTTTAACAAACGATCCAGTAACGATCCCACTCGTTAACCAATTGATTCGGAATATATTATTTTTATGTCTTTTCGTGTCGGGTTAACTACTCATGCAAGAAATTGTCATGCCTAATCTGTAGACCAGGCAAACAGGTCGTTTTTGTGTCGTACTCATTATCTTAACATATGACTCAATAACAACTTAACTTGTTAACGAATGACCCGATAACGACTCAAATCGACAACGACCCGATAAGATTACTCAGTGTTGTTAGACTGAAGAATACGTTAACAGTCTTATAATTATGTATGAAATTTCTTGCTTCATTAATTTAGGGTGCTTTAGATTTTAGCCCTTACAATTCATTATTTCTAAATAAAAACCCATCTATCTTTAAAGATCCAATTTAAGCCCAAATTTAAAATTTGCAAACATATAGGAACACTATTGACCTATTAATACAATTTATTTACATTCATGCCACTCATACTTTATGGTCTTTTGCAAATTCCTAAATTTATGCCAAATTAAAAGTAGTAGAAAAAGTGAAATAAAATGAAAAAAGTGTTTGCATTGACCGTATCTATGTCAAACTAGAAAAGTAGTTTTTTTTTTTTCGTGATATATTTTGTAGCAATTTTATCCATATTAATTGGTAGGTAAATTATTTGTTCCAATTGTTTAAAAAAAAAAATACTACACCTATATTATATATTTTGAATCAAATAACATTCCTCTAACTTGTAGGTAAATTATTTTCTATGTATTGTTATATATGTTAGACACGTTTTGTTGTTGTATAAACATGAGTGGAACATAATATTGTTGATTTTATACATCAAACTGCATTTCTTTTGTTATAGGTAAATTATTTTCCATGTACAAGTACTTATGTTAGGCAAGTTTTGTTGTTGGTACATACAATATTTTGTATCATTGTAAAGAAAGATATTACATTACACCCATGGTATAATTGTTGTAGGTAAATTATTGGAAATTAATTTGTAGTTAGGTAATGAACATTTTGCATCATTGGAAATGAACATTTCAAAGAGTAGGTAGGTAAATTAATTTGTTCTAATTATATAAAAAAAATTACACTACACCTAGTTATATTTAATTTTTCCAATTATTAAAAAAATTTATACTACACCCAACCAAATAACATTTCTCTAACTTGTAGGTAAATTATTTTTCATGTATTGTTAGATATGTTAGGCACGTTTTATTGTTGTATAAACATGGGTGTAACATAGTATTTTTAATACTATGCACGGAACTACATTTCTTCTTAATATAGGTAAATTATTTTCCATGTATTAGTAAATATGTTAGGCACGCTTTGTTGTTGGTAAAAACATTATTTTGCATCATTGTTAAAAAGAGATATTATATTACACCCATGGTATAATTGTTCGTAGGTAAATTAATGTGCATGTAGATAATGAAATACAATGTTCTAATATATTAATAAAAAAAAAGGATAAATTCAAAAGTATTCAAGAGTATGGTGAAAGAACTGAATCGAATAGTTTCATGAAAATTCAAAACCTTTCTAAAAAATTAAAATGCAATAAATTTTTAACATTAATTTCTTTTCTTTTTTTGGTTACAAAATCATTTACTATTTCCTTACAATTAATTGTCTACATCAAGTATGTAATAGGGGTATTTTAGGCATGTGAAAAATGTACAATGTGTGAATTAATATGAAGTTAATGAATTTGCTTATGTGGATCCTAGTCATTGGGTTTTCTTTGAGTAAAAAAGTTATGTAGGGTTTTCTATGAAGAAAATTGAGTTTGAAGGGCTAAAGTCATATTCTCACTAATTTATATGTGACTTTTCCATTAGGACAATCAGCAATCTGTAGAAGTAAATATTTTTTACTGGTTGAAAATGTTGATCAATTGGACGGTGGAGTCGCACGTAATAACAAAAACATGATAGGAATTATTCATTCCTCTGAGGGTCCAGATATCTCTTTCAGCTTCTTCAAATCTCATCTGCCAAGTAAACCAGTCAAGTACGGACCCAATGCCTAAGCTGTTGAGGATGATTTGCCTTCAAAGAAATATCTACCTATTCATTTCTTACTAAACTCAACTAGGGCTGCAACTGATTCATAAAATGAACTTGCATGTAACGAGGTGTAAATATGTTCGTCTCCATCTCTCATCTCTTGATAAAGTTATGTGAGAAGACAAATCGAGGGTTAGGACACGCGGCAAGCAAAGGCGGAGCTGGAAAATTTTGTGGGTGGGTTAGCTAAAAAAAAATACCCCAAAATCAAATGATATATATATATATTTTTTTTTGCTACATGCATATTGTATGCAAAAATTTAAGTTTAACTTCTGTATTTGAAGTCTTAAAATTTTCTTGGTATGAACTCAATTAAGCTTCGCATTTGCATACCGCAAAAATTACAATGAATCATCAAACTTACATATATTTAGATGCAAACACAAGAAGAAGATAGAAAACTTGACATCTCAATTACAAACACACAGCTAGTACAAAGCAAAACAATGAAAGTAGATGTAAAGGCAATATTAAAAATAAAAAAAAAATTGATTGAAACTTATATAAAGCTCGCTGAATCAAAGCAGAATAATCTTGAACAAAATGGTATCACAATTTCCATGATAATTTTTATATTTCTAATTGTGCTACATACTCGCTAGGCTAGTTTCATTAAAAAATAATTCTTCTTGCATATTTTTTTGTCTATTTTATTAGACTACGCATTAAAATATATATACAATTATACATATTGCCACAAACTTTCCCTGAGTTACAGCCCACCGTAGCCTTTGGTGTGGCTACGCCATTGGCGGCAGATAAGTTTCTATCATCAACCATGTTCACAAGTTTAGGCAATCAATCCAAATTGAAACGAATCATAATCGAGAGTTAAAATTGGAAACTTCACCTAACTAATTGCTCATGCAAAGTTAATCATGATGATTTGCAACGGTAAAAAAAATCCCACCACAAGCATGCCAATCGTGTAAAGCTAGCACTTTACTGTGAGTTTAGTAATGATAGTGATTAACATCATGAGTAATTATGACTATGATGAATAAATATTACATAATTATCAAATGATAACTTACCATATATGATTTCGTATCCACCATTATTGCTTATGATCTTTTCCAAGAAATTAAGACTTGGAAGGCATCGAATCTCAAAAGGTGGTAGACAAGGATAAGATGATTGTCAATTCACTAATACGGCAAGCAATTATGTTAAATCCTATTGCTTGTTGCTGTGCTACCCTTATTCCTTTTCTCTCAACTGAACAAACGATACGATGTTTACAAAGTTGGAGTGGTTCATTCATGCGAGATTTTTATATATTTCCATGTCAGGTTGCGAGTCAACAGAGTGTTCTCACATGTTAAGTGAGAAAAGAAAAAAAGTGATGTATCGCTGTTTTACACTAGAGTTTTTCTTGTTCATCAATAATAAACTAGCTGCATTTTTCTGGCATATTTTTTGGAGTACGAAAATCGTAATGTTATTCATATTATGTTTTTGTATCACATTTTCATACAATTTTAGATGACATTTGATGTGGACAGCCACATCACTTGAATTAACCAGATTTTTAAATTTAGTTCATTATTTAATAAATTAATAATTAAGAAAAACTAGTTAATTAAAATGAAGATTGTGGTATACGAGGAGGAGTCTTTCTTATTACTTTCCTTGGGTTTTGCAACATTTTCAAATGATATGAATGTCCACATCAGATGTCACCTAAGATGGTATAAAAATGTGGTATAAAAACATGATATAAATAACATTACTCATGCGGAAATATGGATCATAGTGATATCATAGCTTGACTTATACTAACAATTTCTTTTGATGAATTGGTGAATCATAGGATGGGAAATGGGATCCTCTGAATTCCTTCTTTCGGATCCTCCTACAGCACGTTTTTGTTAAGAATGAACCTCACATTGATGAGATGATGGACTTTGCATGTGTTTATAAGAGGTAGACTACTCCCCATATTGCAAATTGGTTTTATGGTGGAACCTTAATTTTCTTCATGGTATCAGAGCAAGTTGTCGTCCCACATGTGAAGCTCAACGGCCACACGTGCTCCATGTCACTCGAGTTGTGTTGTTCAATTCTTCTTATTCTTTCTTCTCTGCGGCGATGATGCCGTCGTGTTTTGCGACATCTGCGCCCCTCTCAACCCTCCCGTTGCCAACAACATAGCAGCTTTTTCTCATTCCGATGGCATCATGGTTATCTGGTCATTTTCCTAGCTATTCGACTTTCAATTGAACGAACATGATTAAAAGATATAAAAAAGATCCTATTACGTGAATCGTACAGATTTTGGTGTGAAATTCTATAATATCTATTTAGCTTTTGGGGGAATAAACTTTATTGATTGAAAATTACAAGTAATCCAATTAAAATTAAAATAAATAAAAAATTTGAAACATGACAGTGAAGAAGGCACGTGAACACGTACATAAAGCAAGTCCTTTTCTTTATCAAGGTGAGCGGCAAAAAAGACAAGGATTGTCTGGTCTTTCATTTTCTATGTATTTTTGTGCTTTTTTATTTATGTAGTCACGATTAAGTTACATCAATATTTTATATTATTATTTATTTTTATCTTATTATCTTTATAAAAAAAATATACAATATTAAATTGGCTTAACCGTGACCACACAAAACAGGAAAACACGAAAGGGCACCGGAAGTGGAATGTCTGACAATCTGTGTCTCAGCAAAAATTGCTAAGACATCCGTACGTGTTGATAATACATAGATAGTTGGCATCTGATGTTGAAAAAAATAGGGAAATAAAAAAAAAAATAAAAAAAACTAAGGAATGAAAGAGAGAGATAAAAAATAAAAAATAAAAAAAATAAAAAAAAAGAAGGAATGAAAGAGAGAGAGAGAGAGAGAGAGAGAGAGCAGAGCATCAACTGGTACAAATAAAACAAAAACAGAACACCAGCAAGAAGGTAAGCTCTCCCCTCCCTCACGTCTCATATTTTCCTCATAATTTTCTGTTATAATTTTGTTATCTGTTAAGTCGTCACTAATGAAAAACCAATTGGGTTTTCAGTTCACTGCAATTTGCATCTGCTCAAAAATTCAGCTCAGCTTAATTGTAAACATAATCCCTAAATTTTGATGTGCTAAAATTCACGTTTAATGCAGAAAAGTTCTTGTTTACATAAGTTGCATGAATTTCTGTTCAGATTTCAGTCACTTGGGAAGAAGCTTTCTATAGTACTGGACTAAAAGCTCTTATCTTTCCCTTTTTTAATTAAAAAAGATTAAAAATTCTCATTTTACTGTGTGCCTCTTGCACCAAGTTCGATCGCCTATGCTACATTAAAGTAGTTTAGAATATCGCATTGTTGAGCAGAAAGAACAATACAATTAATGTCTAGAAAACTATGAATTGGGTTATTTCTAATTTAGTGCTGGCCTCGCGATTCAATAGATAATTTGCTAATGAATGATTGAGATGTAGCTAAAAAGCTTCTCATTTGGTTCTAGATATTCTTCTAATTAATGACATTTTCATGAGAGTTATTTTGTCAAAGCTAGAAAGCCATACACAGAGACCACAGAAAGTCCGCGATTTCGGGTAATGAGGTTATCTAATTTTGATTGAATTTGTGGAGCTTATCCACAGAAGAATGCATTAGTTTGAGTTTGTTTAAGTCATTCACAAACTTGTGCTACTGAACTTGTGCAAATTATGTTGCCGCTATAAGTTATCGTGAATGCTGCACAAGAGGGTAGCAATCTTACTTTGTGGGAAAACACCTGTAAACTAGTGATGGAAAGCTGCTAATTTTTTTTATGGCTCTTCACATTTTCAGTAACAGAAAGAGAGAACAAGAAAGAGGAACAAACTATGGCTGCAACCGTGTTGTTTGCATGCCATTCCAATGTAATTGTAAACCACGGCTGTAGAAATGATTATCCGTCGTTACGCAAATCATTCTTGGGTGTTGGACACAGAGTCCTGGATCAAACCATAGCCAACAGAAATCAAAACCATAACAGCTTTCAAAAAAAGAAGTCATCTTATAGGTTTTCCGTTTCTGCTGTCACCAAAGGTTCTGCAAAATCAAGCAAGTCCGATGAGAAAATCCCCCCTTGGGCTAAACCAGATTCGGACGAGCCCCCTCCTTGGGCCCAGAATGAAGGCAAGAAAGATGATTCACAAAAGGGATTTGAGATTCCCTTTTTTGTTCATCTGTTTGCCTCAGCAATCACTGCAATCGCTGCAGTAAGTTCCCTCTTCCAGTCCCTTTGAAACCATGTATGCCACCCCTTGATCTGTTTTATAACTGGAAAAGTAATGTTGGACTGCAGATAGGTTCCGTTTTCGAGTATGTGAACGAGAGGCCAGTCTTCGGAATCTTGAGTTCAGACAGCATATTTTATGCTCCAGTGCTTGGATTTTTTGCATTTACTGGCATCCCCACTTCTGTAAGCTGTTCTACTTCTTTTATCTTTTTTATTTGATTTGATTTGTTCAATCTGTTTAACTACTGTGCTATGCCAAACCACTGAAAATACGCTTCAATGGGTCAATAACCTATGCGATGGTCCTATGGATGATCGTGTTTGTGGATGATATAAACTCAATCCCCTTCTTGCCTTCATAACGTGGATGTTGAATGCAGGCATTCCTGTGGTTTAAATCTGTTCAAACTGCTAACAAGGAAGCTGAGGAGCAAGACAAAAGGGATGGCTATCGATAGGGTAAAAACCAGCACCTTCAATGTTCTAACCACCACACAGACTTATCTCAACCGGCATATTTCATTCTTTTTCGTAATCCTATGTTATGGTCTTCGTTATTTGATTTTGTTTAGATAAGATACAAGTTAATTACAGTCCACACAAAGCTCCAAAGTCACTCGCAAAGGTAGATGATACCGATTATTCTCCAGTTGTTTTCTTGATTCTTTCCAGGAAAGTGGCATGATTGATGATTGTATATGTTGATCTTGTCTCATTAGATGTACCTGATGGTTCCTAGTCATACAGGACACTTGTGAAATAAACCATGCAGATCACACATCGCAGTCCTAGACATCTCATTTTACTAAATCGAACTCTTTGAATAGATAATAGTTTCAAATTCAGGATTTAACCAATTGCATCTTGTTTCTTCGGATTTAAGCATCGAATACCTTGGTGAGCTTCATACATTCAATCCGGAGAAACCAGCATAAGAAGTATAGTGTTTGCCTATGAAAATATCTGTTTCGATCTCATAGGAACACAATTCTCCAGTGAAACATATCATCTGTTGTAGTTACCTGCAAACAAATGAATCTCAAGTGTATAAATGCCTCTGCACATACGTAACATGAAAAGAACTATCGAAATTTTCGACAGAATGGAATTGTAACCTTACCCTTGCTTTGCAAAATGGCTGTTTCCACAACTCAAATCCGTGACCTTTTGGTCACAACTCTCTTTAAATATTAGCAGAAAGCATGAGATGCGACAAGTACATAGGTTTAAACGTTTGGCTTCTGTGTCTTCAACGGAACCACCTAGATTTTTTTTGGTTGGTTTTCGATCATCAAATGTGGGAGCATAGTCTGTCTTGTCTTTCGAATTATAACACCACGTTTTCCTCCGAGCTTGTGGAAAATTGAAGAAGCCACACTCCCCAAACCCAATTGCTGCGCTAAAAATTTTCCATCTCTTTCCCATGGATACTTCTCATCAAACACTTGAAACCCCGCTTGAACGCAAGCTTCCTGTAACTGACGATGAGAATTACACGAAGACCGAGCAAGCGCAGAGAGCTCAGTGGCTCAGAGCTGCTCTTCTGGGAGCAAGCGGCGGGTTGCTGTCAACCACGTCGCTGATGCTTGGTGTTGGGGCAGCTAAGGTAGATCGTTGGACGACGATCTTATCCGGCATAGCGGGAGCTGTTGCAGGAGCTTGTAGCATGGCTGTGGGGGAGTTTGTTTCAGTTTCAACACAGAGATATCGAAAAGACTTCTCTTTTAAGACAGAGCAGTTTAAAAACTGAGATGGGTAAGAAAGAAAGGAATGAAAAATCTAACTTAACCATTTCAATTGAACTGACTCCAAGAGTAATCCCATCTGGAAATTCACCATCCAAGCCGCCAGAGCAGCCGGAGAAAGCGAGGAAGATTACTGCCGTTGAGATCACACAAGTTAGTGAAGGGGAAGAGTCATTGCCGAGTCCACACAAGGCAGCATCTGCATCAGCCTTGGCATTTCTGTGCGGCTCACTTGTGCCTTTACTCTCAGCCGTGTTTATTCCTCAAAATACTATAAGAATCGCGGTGGTTGTGATGGTGGCTTCAATAGCTCTGGCTTTATTTGGCGGCGTGGGAGCTCGTATGGGTGGATCCCCGGCCATGCCATCTGCATTTAGGGTTTTAGTTGGAGGGTGGTTGCCGTGCCAGTCACTTATGGCTTGCTTCATGCCATATGAAAAAAAAAGTCCCAACGAAAAGGACTGATAATTTCTGTATCCAGAATTTACCATATGCAGAATTTACCACACAATATATATAGTTATGCATATATTTATTGTGCAAGTCGAGAAGATCTTTCGGCATCCCAGTCGTAGTTAAAATTTCTCTCGTGCTAGTCCGGGTTTTCATAGAATTCTCAAGGTTGAATTTAGACTTTTTTGTCTTGTTAAATAACAAATTACAAAGAATGATGAATGTAATCAAGTTTAGAGACGTGAGATTAAATTACATAAAAGAATAAATAAATTTCTTAAACAATTCCAAGTGGATATTGTTTAGAGCAATGTAATCTGGGAAACAATGAACCTAATTACGAGAAATCAGACTAGTTATAAGCTTAATTAGCTTAATATATGCATAAACTTGTCACGCAAGATGTAACAAGTTTGGATCCTTTGAAAAACTTACTCCAAGAAATTCGGGAAACGATTCCGATAAAATTGGAGCGACACAGATAAAATTAGCATGCCGTTTTGAAAAGAAATTCGGATACAACTAAGTAATGTCAAAGTTTGACCAAATGTTAGAGATGCAGTAGGGACTTGATAATTTGGTAAGGTACGGATAACATTTCTTGGAAAATGTTAGTACTTTTACAATTTAGCTGCAAAAATGCATGCTTGAAGCTGCTTTATATTTGTTTATCGTCAATGTAGTTACGCCAACGTCTTGATCATGGACAAAACGAAAAAGAGGAAATCAGTCTTCCAATGTCGATTCTCCAACAATTAGATCGCTTCGATCGTTTGGTAAAATGCCTCTTCATTTTGTTTTCCATTGATGATTTTATTTTATGAGTTGCATGTGGGTGCCTACTCCCGTACCTCGTATGAGGATCTCTTTGTGGGCCTAGCCTCATATGGATGTTTCGCCTGGAATGTCTTGAGTACTTGTCGGAGTGTGGACCTAACCTCGAATGCACACTGACTAGTAAACCGAGTCAGGAATGAACACTTATTTGCGCACTGAGGTGGGATAAAACGTTTTCCCAAGGGCCCAAACGAGAGCGCACACTACTCGAATGCACGGTTCGTGGCGGGTTGAACGGCTCTTTGATGGGACGTCACTGGAATAAGTCACGTTCTTTTGCCTTTGTCCTGCTTCGAGACATATTGTCTGAGGCACGTTACGTCTCGATGTGCTCAAGGAGCTGGTTCACCAAGGTGGTCTGTTGCGCGAGGGCGCTGGTCAAATTGGTGACCTGCTGGGCAGGTTGTGTTCCATTTGGATTAGAAGAGTCTGGATAGTAGGCGTCTCCATGTGTGATGGAAGTGTAGTGGATTGCAGGTACAAAGCTTGAGCCCAGAGTGGGCATTCTTGTAGAAAAGTGGGGTGAAAATAACCCTGGGTAGATTGCGGGATCGATGGCCAGAATCGAAATTGCCAGAAGTGGCCTCGAATTGGATTGGGCAACAAGCCAGGTCGTCAAAGCAAGCCAACCCGCCTGGGTGGTCAGAGCGTGCGTATGGACACTTTAGGGTGGCGCATGGGCTGGCTGACGCTAAGCTGCAGCTTACTCCCCCGAGCTTGGCTGACGTTGTGCAGCTAGGCTTGCTACTGGGGTGGGTTGGGCCTCCTGCCCAGGGTTTTGGGGATTGGGCTGCTGCAAGGGCAATGGCCTGGCAGCCTTGTCATGGCTGTTGGGTCGTAGCGACGGTAATGGCGTGGCTCCACGCTTGTGGGACTTCTCCCGCCGTTGCGTTGAGCCTTGAGGATCGTCATCTTGGGGCTATGTCCTCGTCTCCACTCTCCGGTCCAAATCCTTGTACGTACGGGGTTTCATTCGTCGTGGTGTCCGAATTTCCTACCATTGTATCCTTTCTCCAGGGAATGATCAAGAAACTTTTCTAGGAAAAATTAATGGATACAACGTGTGAGAAATTCAACATAACAGAAAATTCAAGAAACCAAATGCAAGAGGCTTCTTTGAGTATTTGAATCAACTCTTCATGAAAGCACCAATTTGTCTAAGCAAATTTTTGCCGTCTCTAGTTTTGATGAAAATGCACCTGCAAAACAATCAATACCTTTGATCAAGAACCTAAGCCTCCCATGGGGGGTTAGGCCAATGGATCTCCGATGCCTAAGTTAGTTTCTCTGAGAAAAGTAAAGTGTTTAGGGATTTTTAGGGTTGTAAAAGCTTACCAAAATTTGGCAGAATAGGGAGTATATATAGGGGAGTGGCTGGCTATGGTGTTAGGGTTTTACCTTACACATGGCGGCATCCTATTTGCCAAGGTTTTATGGAGCAATATTCTCAAGATATTAAATAAGAAATAATATCTTGAGATAATGAAGTAATTATCCCTAATTGATTTAAATATGGATTACTTACTTAAATGGAGTCAATCTTTAATTGAGAATGTATTAAAGATAGGATTTGGGTAATTAATCATTATCTTTAATGCTTTAACTTTTCCTTGCCAATGACATCTGAGTTGTGGGCAGTCGCATTCAGCTGCAGGGACCTTCAGGGGTGTGAACTACGCGTGAGAGTATCTGAAGAGCCTACCCATTTGATGAGTGCAATCTTGTCCTTCTTGAGCAAAAGTCCACGTGTCGTCTATAGAATTTTTGGAATTATTTTTAGCTCCACAAAGAGGATCAAAAATCCAAACCCAAGATTGGAAAAATCACAAAGTACCTCACCGTATCTAAGATTAGAATAATCAATTATTATGCAAACATTGAATTTGGTTTGATTAATGGTGGTGGGCGGTGATGGTTTGGGGTAATGAGGTTGGGGTTATGTAAGAGAGGGGGTAAGGTTGTGTGTCGGTGTGGCATATAAGGCTGAGAATGGGGAGAGATTTCTTCTTTTTTCTCTATTTTTTTTATAATAAAAAAATTAAACTGTCAAAGAAAGAAATGATAAAAGAATGGAATAACCTTTTTATCGCTATATTTGGATGAGATTATGGGAGAAATTTCGATTTGGACTATCATTGATAGCGAACTTCACCACAAGGTAAAAATTAATAGTTTCATCACATATTGATTTAAAAGTAGCGGCTCACCACATGACTATGAAAAAAATTTAGCCTATAATTAATGATACACAAAAGAAAAGAGAGAACATAAAAAAGGAAAAATTGACCTTTCCAGAATAGGACTTATTAGTCTCGTTGGGACCAGTTGTGAATGAGATTGGTCACATGTATGTTCGTCATGTTTAGTAGAAAGGCTAAATTGGACAAATTATCTTTGTGAACTATCGCATAATGGTTTAGTAATTGGAGACGAATTTCAGGTTTGTATTTTACACTGTATATCCTGAGTTCGATTACTGACATTGTTAAATTACAAGATAATTGTTAAAAGAATATTGAAATGCTTCTGTAAACTTTCTAGATCTCCAAAAAGATGACACTACCGTGGTGAACCACCAAGTGATCCCTTTAAAAAAAAATATTGTGGCGTTGTAAAATGTCAATGTTAGTTATGTAGTTAATAAACTCCCAATAATAACTTTGTGATTAAAGATAAAAATCCATTTCAGTCTAAATCCAACTTTTCATTCAAGTTCTCCGTAATTCAAACCGATAGGCGCACCACTTAACACCATTGATATTGCCAACGTCTTTCTTCATATGTTGCTAACATTGACATTTCACGGACGGTCCTTCAAAATTTAATATTGTACCGACAGGAAGTGATGTAATTGTGCGCACAACAGAGAGAGAAGGCAGCTGCGACGGTGATACCAATGCTACTCAACACTGACCACATCTTCTCCAACCCACCCAAGTTTCATTCTTTATTTACAAATTAATTTATTGGGTCGGATTAAATTGTTCCGAAGGACAAGAAGAAGAAGTTGCAGAAGCAGAAATGGTGGAGATGAAGGAGGAAGAGTCTCAGAAAATTGCAGTTTTCAAAGGCAGGGAAATATTCGGGTCCAATGCTCTGCACTCGTTTGTGGCTCTGGGTATTTGGCTGGGTACAATCCATTTCAACATGGCTCTGGTTCTTTTCACAATATTCTTCCTTCCATTTTCCAAGGCCCTTCTGTAAGTGTTCATCCTTCGTTACTTCACAAATCCTTTTTTTTCTTTCTAGTTTGTTTTTTGAGGTGCGTGTACTTATCACACATCTTAATAATTTCTGTCCGTTGATCTTCTCTAATTCATTTGATCCGACGGTTAAAAATTAAAAAGGTATGTGAGAAATAAAATGGGGTGTGTGGATATCACGTCTCTTGTTTTTGCAGTCTAAAGACTTTGGACGAGATATCTAGCTACCAATGTTATTTTGAATTAAAAATTAAAATTTGTTGTTGCTTTTTGAAGAGGATTAGTTAGACTCACAAAGACATTTCAGCCTTATCATGATCATTATCGTATAATTCACCAACGTTATGAATTGAACTCAGAACATATCGTATAAAATATGAGCCTAGAATTCATTCCACACCATTGAACCATCTTGTGCTCGTTAAACTATGTTGTTTATACAAATGAGAATTCAAATAAAATCTATAATTTATGAGATATATTAAAGGATAAATTATATTCTTTAATATTATATATATATATATATATATATAAAAGTGTTATTGACACTTTAAAATTCTTATTCTACACTGCTTATAGTATATATTTTTTTTTAATATAGAAAATTTGAAGTGTAAAATGAGATTTTTGAAGTACTAATAACAATTTCCTATATATATTAAACCAAAAATGAAGTATTTTTCAAAAGCACAAAAAAATAAAATAAAAAAGAAGAAGATATTAAGCTTAATTACATTTCTTCCATTAAATTTGACATGGATACATTGTCAAATCAATGTACCCATATAAGTTTAAAAAATGGGTTAGAAAAAAATTGCATGGATTTTATATAAAAAAAATGGGTACATTTATACTAAAATATGTTACATTTTACATATAATAAATTAGTATGTTTAAGAATGGGTACATTTAAGATTACAAAAAATTGAAAATTTATACGAATGGGTAAATAGATTTAAAAATTGAAAATCTTTTTATGAAAAACTAATGGGTACAAACTTAATCTTTTTTTTTTTTTTTTGAAAGGGATGTGATATCCACACACTCTATTTTACTTTTCATACACCTTTTTAATTTTCGGCTGTTAGGTTGGATGAATTGAAGAAGATCAACGGACATAAATTATCAAGGAGTGTGTGAGAAGTAAAATGGGGTGTGTGGATAGCACATCCCTTTTGAAAATGTTTTGAATTCAAAATCATTTAAAAGTTTAATAAGGGTGTGAGTATAAAAACCCTAAATCCATTACTAATTTTTATTTTAAAAAATTATGTAATTGACATTTAAATTCATTAATATATTAATGTTAGGGATTTCGATCAAAATCTAAAAACCGATAAGGTCTCATCAACATTAATAACGAGAGACTGGATATTAAAAAAAAAAAATAGTGATTGGATACTAATTTTTCCTCTAAGTTATTAATTTATTTGCTGAAATTTTTGAAATTTTCAGTGCATTTGCGTTGCTTGTATTGTTTGTGATCATCCCAATTGATGATAAGAGCAAAATAGGAAGATCACTTTCCAGGTAAAAGTTGTACCCTTTTTAGAGCTTATATTTCGGTTTATCGTATCGGATTAGTTAAGATAGGACGGTTGTGCACAAAGCGGAACTGACAAGTACACAAGTAATTTGTTTTGGTTTGAATTGGATTTTCAGGTACATATGTAAGCATGCCTGTGCTTATTTTCCCGTGACGCTGCACGCAGAGGATATCAATGCCTTTGATCCTAATCACTCTTATGGTATCTCCTATTTTCATCGTTGATACTAGCATATGTATATGTGCACACACAAAGTGTGTGAGAAAATTTTTTAATCTTGTTTTTGAAATAGAAGGAGAGAGGAAGAGACTGATAGAGAATGTGGGGGTGGGAAAAAAAAATTTTTAATTTTTTTTAATTAGATATATGTTATGATAGGTTTTGAAAAAAAAAAAAAACAGCAAAATTTGATTATGTGAAATTACATTTTTGCCCTATATTTCTTATTCATATTCTATTTTAATTAGAGAGTTAAACTAGTAATTTCATAGAGTTTTGGTTGATAATGAGTGTTATATTAATTAGTAGGGATATGAAAGTAAAACTGGTTACAAATTTTTAATCAGAAATATAACTGAATTACACTAAACGGATATAAACCACGGTTTAGTGTCCTTCCAGTTCGATTTTTGAGTAAAAGATTGTGAGTTTAAAATATATTTTCTTTCGGGTAACAGGTAAGGTCATATTACCCATTAATATTAACGGGTTGAATTCATGTCGGATCATTTTACTCGTTATTTTAACGAGAACTACACCACACGACCCGTTAATATATCGGGTATGACACGAAAATAATATAAACACGGAAAACACGACACGACATGACTGCTAGGTCTAATTGTGACTCGTCAAATTTGTGCATGTTTCCCCAATGTATTTTTATCCCATTAGAAGCTTTGATGAATTAATAATATGAGTGGCATTTGGCGCTCTGTGGTTCATGCGGTCTTTGGTTATGAACCACATTCGGTTTTAGCAATTGGTGTTGTCGCACTTGCTGACCTTACCGGGTTCTTGCCTCTCACCAAAATCAAGACCCTTGCGAGTAGCGCGGTAAAATTTCTTTGCTTCGTTGGCACAATCCTTTCTTCTTTTTATATCATGTCTCGGCCTTCTTTCTTACAAATTTTTAGCTATAATTTGTGCGGGAATTATGTTTAGGTGTTCTACACACCATTCATGAGACATATATGGACATGGTTGGGTTTTTCACCGGCCACAAGGAGTAATTTTATCTCCCACTTATCCGCCGGTTATAGTTGCATCATTGTGCCTGGTGGAGTGCGGGAGACATTTTACATGGAGCCTGGCACTGAGGTTTACATCTATAAAATCTTTCATGTGCTCTTGCTGTACCGTTTCATCAAGTCATCTGTTGCTATATGCACTAATCTGACAATCAGCTGGTGTCTGTTTTCTCAATTGTAATTCCGTTTCTAATTGCTAATCGGTTGCTTGCTTTGTAGGTAGCATACCTTAAGTCGAGAAGAGGATTTGTTCGCATAGCCATGGAGCTGGGCCATCCCGCGGTTCCAGTTTTCTGCTTTGGTCAGGTATCACCATTTTCTATCTAGTTTTTGCACCCATTAAGTCATCTACAAAGTTAGCCAGTTGCATAATATCTGTTTTGAGTCTGTTAATTACTGGCTTTTCTGGTCCAAACCTGTATTGATTTCAATAGTTTCTTGCTTTTAAGATTAGTTTGTTGCAATTTTTGTGTGGTTTCACGCATCCAATTACGGGATTATTAAAAGGGCCGTTACGTTCATTATATCTTTAGTTGTTGATTGTACTTTTCTTTTTCTCTCATGCATGTATATCATCTAGCAATGCAATGATAATTTCCATTTCTTTTCTTACGATCCGTCCATGTTGCAGTCAAATGTATACAAATGGTGGAGGCCAAGTGGGGATTTAGTTTGGAAGATTGCTAGAGCTCTCAAGTTCCCCCCAGTTTTCTTCTGGGGAATATTTGGGTATGCATTCTGAGTTATCGTACTCTTCATGAGTAGAACTTTTATCTTTACAATTAGCTTTGGAAAGTATGTCTGCAGAAACTGAAAGGAAAATCTATTCCGCTGAAAAACGTTCCCGTTAGATTGAGAAGAAATTATACTACTATTAAACCATTATTTACTTTTACTAACCAAACAAGGAATTTTTTTTTTAATTCAAATTTTGCGTTCGACCTACTCTGTTGACTCGTTATGTATATTTGTACATTGATGAGGATTGAAAATGAGCAGCACTACGGTTTCAACTGTTAATGGTTTATATCATGCTTCTCCGCTGCAGAACTCCTGTACCCTACAGTCATCCAATGCACGTGGTGGTCGGAAAACCAATCGATCTCAAGAAAACTCCGCAACCCACCATGGAAGAGGTATGAATTGCACCCGAACAACTGAGTATATCGGATGTGTTTAGTCCCCTGTGAACATTCAATCATGGAGAACCGGTGCTTGGACCGTATTCATATTACTTTATTGCACTCTTTCTGCTGCCCTGGACTTCATCTTCTATGCGCATCATTCTTGAATGAATGTTTTTAATACATAAACAACAACAACAAATCTTTATCCCACTAAGTGAAGTCGGGTATATGAATTTTAGAACGTCACCGCACTTGGTTTTGCACCATGTCTTCTGTTAGCTCCGAGTATTCCATATATTTTCTTAAAGTCTTTTTTCAAGTCTTTCTAGGTCCTCCTCCACCATTTTTGCCCTGGCCTCCATCTCATAGTCACATTTTCTAACCAGAGCATCTGTAGGTTTTCCGTTTCTGTGTCCAAACCATCTTAACCAATTTTCTCTCATATTATCTTTAATTGCGGCCACTTCTACGCTACCTCGGATATCCTCGTTGGTTTTGTTCGTGCAATTGAACCTCCATTCGATTCACATCTGGATTCACATCTCTTATCTTCTACAGAGCAGTAGCATGTGGTTTTACATATTTATAAAGCTTGTTTACTGGAGAGGTCTCTCCTAAGTAGAGAGCTATTAATGTTTTCAAAACCTACAAATATAGATTTAGTTTCATAGCGAAATACATGCAAGTGAAGTTTTAAATGTACCTGAAATAAAAAAGTTTTGTCTGGTGTTGACTGGGTGCTGCAGCTTCACGGAGTTATATATTTTCACAACTTTGTAGCTTAATATCGGTGCTGCTGGATTTCTGAGTTCATACTTTTTTCTTTCCAGGTGAACGAAGTGCACGGTCAGTTTGTTGCAGCACTGCAGGATCTTTTCGAAAGGCACAAGGCACGGGTTGGTCACGCCAACCTTCAGTTAAAAATTATTTGATCAGACACTATTTTTTTTGTTTTCCCTATTCATTTTCTGGGAAAGTTAGTGTTAACTTGTTGTATTAACTATGAAGTTAGATTGTGAAAATAATGGTTGAAGAGTCGCCTTTGGTATATAGGCTCGTTTGTAAGTACTTTTAAAAGACTAAAAACATTTTTTTTGTAAAAATATTTATAGAATCAATCCTTAATAAAATTCAAATGAATCCTAAAAAAGCGCTTGAATGTTTTTTTTCAGAAATCACTTCAAGTGCTTTTGAAATCCAATTTTTCTTCTTCTCTAAAAATGTTTTTAGTCATAATCATGTGTGTGAATAAAGCGCTCTCTAAATTTATTCATACGTTCTCAATAAAATTAGTGATTATACACAGTAATAAAGACTTTCATTTTTCAATTAATTGTTTCTCTCATTAGTCCCCACTTGATTGCCTACACAAAATTATTATGCGACTCTAAAATATGGAAAGAGATCATCTCTGGATCTCTTTCACTAAATCCACATAATCAATTAATTTAAATTCTTAAAATTTGATCTAACAGCTACAAACTGGAGGTCCCTTTAAAAGTTATAATAGCCGTTAGATCAAATTTCAAGAGCCTGAATTTAATGATTGTGTGGATTTGGTGGAAGAGATCCAGAGAGAATCTCTTCCCCATTTGTCAAATCGTATAACCAGTTCACTGGCTATAATATATTGGACAACAGTTTTATTTATCATATGTTCATGCATATAATATTTTGGTGCCACAAATTATATGTTGAGAATGAGTACCACATTGATGAGAGGATGAACTTTGCATAAGCTTATAGGTAAGCTAGGCTACTCTCTATATTGCCAATTGGTTTTATGATGCAACCTTAACTTTTTTCATAGTATCATAGCAGATTGTCAAATGTGTGAAACTAAACAGCCACACGCCTCCACGTCATCCCATTCTATTGTTCACGTGTTAAGCTTGAAAATTCACCACACGTGAGGAGGCATGTTGACAATGAGTCTCACATTGATGGGAGGAGCAACCTTGCATGAGCTTATAAGTAAGCTGGATTACTCTCCATATTGTCAATTGATTTTATAATAGAACTTCAATTAATTTTTGCTCTTCAATATCTTTCAAAACCGAAAGCAAACTAGCTCTATACAATTCACATTTCCGTCGTGCATGCTCAAGTTAAGCTCTAGTTTCTCCATTTTCTGGTCCTCGTCATCCTGCAAAGTCCAAATGGAACGCAAATTAACCATCGCCTACTCACCATCCGCAAAACTATACACCAGAAGTCAAATAATCGAAAAAAAATGAGAACAAACACATTTATCCCACATGCACCAATCTTCCATGTCTCCAGTACTCATGATCTCTTGCCAACTATCCCTCTGCACCTACTTCAAAAGACAACGAAGCCCTAATATTATCATTAAGGTATTCGAGCGTTTACAAGGAAACTGACAGTGGATAGAGTTTCGAACCCCCGTTCACGATCACCGAAGGTATTGTTTGATGGACTTCCAAGATGAAACCCTTCTTCTCTTCCAGCTGTATTAGCTATAGCCACCCTCTCGCCGTTCTGCATTCTATGAAGCTCTGCTTCAAAGTTGGAATGCTCACAAGGCACAGACCTTAGCTTGCCTGTCCTTCAAGTAATCCAAGATCAACTGAGTGTCGCCTCCAAGGGTCCCTTGCTTACAACTCCTCATGTAATTCCTGCTGTCACACTCCATGAAGCCAACATTCATAATTCCACCATATTACGTGACGAGGGCAGACATAATTCCTCTGCGGCCAATCCCAGCACCCTGCAAGGTATCAAATTATCTGCAGAACCCCAGACATGACGATGAGAGCGAAGGTGTCAAATTATTTTTAGGTTCCAAAGCACTTGAAGTGATTTCTGCAAGAATCATATGTTGTCTACTTCTTGCAAGAAGCATTTAAGTGTTTTTTTTTTTTTTTTATCAGAATTCAGTTGTATTTTTTTTTTAATAAGGATCAGTTTCAGAAGCACTTTTAATAAAAATGTTTTCTGTCATTAAAAAAAAAAAAAAACACTTCCAAACAAACCATTAATCGATAATTTTTATCGTTTGATGTTTGATCGTGTTAGTCAATTACTCCAAAATATTTGATATATAATTAATGATACAATATCGTTTGATGTCTGATCGTGTTAGTCAATTACTCCAAAATATTTGATATATAATTAATGATACAAACAAATAAAAAAATTTAATTGGAAAATTGATTCTGAAGGAACGTGAATACCATGTGAGCGGAGTGAGCGACTCGCAGTAGGGCACCGTCCAGTAATTATTTATTTGTTTATTAATTAAAAATCCACAAAAGAAAAAAGCGAAAAAAAGGGGAAAAAATAGTACTCACTAACCTCGCTGGGACAGTTGTGATTCTTATGAATGAGATCATTCCACCAAGCAAGTTTAAGAGGAAATTTAGTCGTTGGTCACGTGCAAGTTCGTCATGTTTACTAAAAAGGCTAAATTGAACAAAATATATTTGTGGTGTGGTACAATCAAGGTTATAAAAAAAAGTTAGGTCTTAGTCGAGCGACGGGTTGGAGGATCTATGCAGATTACGCGAATTTAATTCAGCTCACCTCTTTCATTTTAGTATAGATAATATTATTTGTTTAAAAAAAAAATGTGCCTACTTACATTCTAAAAAATATACTTGTATTGAGAATTTGAAAAAATTAAAACTTAAGTCATTATGGCATTGCATTATTACAAACTAATGCAATAAAAATAAGAAAAGCTCAATGATTCAATGTCAATATACATGTAAATGGATCGTGCAGAGAGACATGGAGAAGAGAAACACAAAACAGCAAGAGACATAATATGGGTTTTTTTTGGTAGGTTCCCAGAAAACATTTTAACTTAATTAAAAATAAATAAAAACGATGGAACTCTAAACCTTGCATCGCCTAGCCATTGCCTAGCCCGCCAGCCCCTACGCGATTTTCATACACATTTTGGCGTAAATCACATCGGTCCTCCACCATCTAACGCCTAAACGCCGCCTAGGCCCATTTTTAAAACAATTGGGTAAAATGTCAATGTTAGTAATGTAGTTAAAAAAAACTCTCAATAATAACTGTAACTAAAGCTTGTTATCTATCTGTCTAAAATCGAATGTTACATTTAGATTCTCTCTAATTCAAACCGCTATGTGTATGACCCGCACATGATCAAAATAATGGAATTTGAACAAAAAATTTGAGTTTGGATAGATTAGTAATGAATTAAACCCAATGATATTGCTAACGGTTTTCCTACTATATTGATAACATTGACATATCACTCACGCCACTTCAAAATTTAACGTAGTTTTAACTACCCGTTTGGTCTATTTCACCATGTAGTATGTGATCCGATTTGTTTATTTTTCTCAAAACGAAAGGTTGACCCTGCAAAAAACTCACTGAAATTAAATTATTTAGCATTTTCTAACTATGCTCAAATAAATTGATAAACATAAGCTTTTGATAAAGAACGTAGATGCTTGACACGATAATCAAACAGATAAGCGATTATAATACAACATGATCTTGATTCAGGATTTCAAAAAATGCAGTTTTGATTATTAATTTGCATCATGAGCCCAATGAAGTTCACATCAAATTAACTTATTAACTAATTAGTACTCTGACAATAATTTTATTTCACATAGATGATGGTAGAGCAACTTATATAGAACGAGTTCATCACCAAATAACGATATCATCTAATATCGTTTGGAAGTGCTTTTAAAATTATTGAAAACACTTTTGATGAAAATATTTTTAAAACCAATCTTTAGTAAACTCTAAGTATGTGTGTAAAAATACTTAAAGTACTTCCTGCAATAAATATCTTTGGATGTGCTTTAAAAATGACTGAAAGAGTTTTTAAAGAAAATGTTTTCCAGTTCCAAAAGCACTTGAAGTGCTTTCTGTAAGAAGCATCAGTTATGTGCTTCTTCTATGAAGCATTTTAAGTGTTTTTCTAGAATTTACTTGCATTTAACTAATGATTGGTTCAAAAAACATTTTAATCAAAGACATTTTGAATCATTTTAAAAGTACATCCAAATAAACTAGTGTTTCTTTTAAAAAACGCTTAAAAAGTGCTTTTGGAATCGTTGTCATAGGGTCGGTTTAGTTACCAATTTGTGGCGTTCAAAAAAAAAAAAAAAAAAAATGAGGTTACCAAATTTGTAACATGGGCGGAGTCGTTTACGTCTTCTCTCACTTTCTTGGTCTTTTATATGGTCTTTTATATACATCACCGATAGAAAGTGATGTAATGATGCGTATAACCCAGAAACAGAGAGAGAAGGCAGCTGCGACGGTGAAACCAATGCTACTCAACACTGACCACGTCGTCTCGATCCCACGCAAGTTTCAATCTTTCTTTACACATTAATTTATTGGGTCGGATCAAATTGCTCCGAAGGACAACAAGAAGAAAAGTTGCGAAGAAATTGCAGAAGCAGACATGGTGGAGATGCAGGAGGAAGAATATCAGAAAATGGCGGTTTTCAAAGGCAGGGAAAAATTCGGGTCCAATGTTTTGCACATGTTTATGGCTCTGGGTATTTGGCTGGGTACAATCCATTTCAACGTGGGTCTGATTCTCTTCACGATATTCTTCCTTCCATTTTCCAAGGCCCTTCTGTAAGTGTTCATCTTTCTCGAACCCTTATTTTTTTTCTTTCTAATTTTTTTGGTCATTTAATTTATTGATTTATTTTCTGAAAATTTTGAAATTTTCAGTGTATTTGGGTTGCTTGTGTTGTTTATGATCATCCCAGTTGATGAAAAGAGCAAAATAGGAAGATCACTTTCCAGGTAAAAGTTTACCCTTTTTAGTGTTTTTGCTAGGGAATAGCAATGCTACTTTTTGAGAGATTTATCCGTGCAGAACGTCATGTGCGCAATTTTTTGACTTCAAATTTGATCCTATTTGGTGACGTTGATTTTATTTGAATGGTGAATCATCGTTTAGAGCTTATAACTTTTGTTTATAGTATCGGATTAGTTAAAGACAGGACGTCCTGCACAAAACTGAACTGACAAGTTTACAAGTAATTTACTTTGGTTTGAATTGGATTTTCAGGTACATATGTAAGCATGCCTGTGCTTATTTTCCTGTGACGCTGTACGCAGAAGATATCAATGCCCTTGATCCTAATCGCGCTTATGGTATCTCCTCTTTCCATCGCGGATATATGGAAGTAGAACTGGTTACAAAATTTTAATTAGAAATAGAACTGAAGTACATAAACCACGGGTTTCGTGTACTTCCAGTTCTATTTTTGAGTAAAAGTTTGTGGCTGGTCTTGTGTATGTTTCCCAATGTATTTTAATACTATTAGAAGCCTTGATGAATTAATAATTTGAGTTGCATTTGACTCTCTGTGGTTGATGCAGTCTTTGGTTATGAACCACATTCGGTTTTGCCAATTGGTGTTGTTGCACTTGCTGACCTTACTGGGTTCTTGCCTCTCCCCAAAATTAAGGCCCTTGCAAGTAGCGCGGTAAGAATTCTTTGCTTCGTTGGCACTATCCTTTCTTCTTTTCATATTGTGTCTCGACCTTTTCTCTACAATTTCTTAGCTATACTTTGTGTGGGAATTATGTTTAGGTGTTCTACACACCATTATTGAGACATATATGGACATGGTTGGGTCTTGCACCGGCCACAAAGAGTAATTTTATCTCCCACCTATCTGCTGGTTATAGTTGCATCATTGTGCCTGGTGGAGTTCAGGAGACATTTTACATGGAGCACGGCACTGAGGTTTACATCTGCAAAATCTTTCTTGTGCTCTTGCTGTACTTTTTCATTAAGTCATCTGTTGCTATATGCACTAGCTGGTGTCCGTTTTCTCAATTGTAATTCCGTTTCTAATTGCTAATCCGTTGCTTGCTTTGAAGATAGCATTTCTCAAGTTGAGAAGAGGATTTGTTCGCATAGCCATGGAGCTGGGCCATCCCCTGGTTCCAGTTTTCTGCTTTGGTCAGGTATCACCATTTTCTATCTAGTTTTTCTCCACCTGTTTATTCATCTGCAAAGTTAGCCAGTTGCATAGTATCTGTTTTGCGTCTGTTTGCTGGCTTTTCTGGTCCAACCTCTATTGTTTTCAATAGTTTTCTAGCAATTTCTGCGTGGTTTCACGCATTCATATTTTGAGATTATAAAAGGGGCATTATGTTATTACATCTTTAGTTGTTGATTGTACTTTTCTTTGTCTCTCATGCATATGCTTCATCTAACAATGAATGATATTTCCATTTCTTTTCTTACGATTCGTCCATGTTGCAGTCAAATGTTTACAAGTGGTGGAAGCCAAGTGGAGAATTAATTTTGAAGTTTGCTAGAGCTATCAAGTTCACCCCAATTTTCTTCTGGGGAGTATTTGGGTATGCATTCTGAGCCGTCGTCTTCTTCTTAATAGTACTCTTCATGTGTAGAACATTTTATCTTTGCAATTAGCTTATGAAAGTACATCTGGAGAAACCGAAAGGAAAAACTATTCCGGAGAAAAAATTTCCCATTAGATTGAGAAGAAATTATAATACTGTTGAAGCATTCATTTCTTTTCACTAACCAAACAAGGAACTTTTATAATTGAATTTTCGCGTTCAACCTACTCATTTGTTATGTATATTTGTATATTTTTATGATTGAAATTTAGCAGCACTACGGTTTTTGGTAACTGTGAATGGTTCATATCATGCTTCTCCATTGCAGAACTCCAGTACCCTACCGTCTTCCAATGCATGTGGTGGTCGGAAAACCAATTGAACTCAAGAAAACATCACAACCCACGATGGAAGAGGTATGGATATGTGTTAGTCCCCTGTGAACATCAATCAATCATGGAGAACCGGTGCTTGAACTGTATTCAAATTACCGTATTGCACTCTTTCTGTTGCTCTAGTCTTCGTCTTCTATGTGCATCATGCTTGAACGAATGCTTTAATCTTGCCCCCAAAAAAAAAAAGACCGTAATGCCTGTTCCGTGCCACATCCATCTCCATCTTCTACAGAGCAGTTTTACTTGAGGACTTTCTCTCATACATAGAGCTATTATTGTTTTCAAAACCTACAGATATAGATTTAGTTTCATAGCGAATACATGTAAGTGAAGTTTTATTCGTAAAAAACAATGCCTTATCTGGGTTATCCCACTAAGTGGACTCGGCTGGATGCTGCAGCTCGACGGAGTTCTATATTTTCACAACTTTGTTGCTTAATATCGATGCTGCTGAATTTCTGAGTTCATACTTTTTTCTTTTCCAGGTGAACGAAGTGCACGGTCAGTTCGTTGCAGCACTAGAGGATCTTTTCGAAAGGCACAAGGCTCGGGTTGGTCACGCCGATCTTCGATTGAAAATTCTTTGATCAGATCTTACGTACTTTAGTTATGTCCACCTTCATGCAGCTCCCTCTTCTTTTTTTTTCTGGGAAAGTTGGTGTTAACCTGTTGTATTAACGATAAGGTTAGTTGTCAAAACCTTCATCTGGAGCAACAGAAAGTGACATAATCATGTTTGTAAATTAACATCTCTCTAATTCTTTCATACTTTCTCAATAAAATTAGTGATTAGACACAGATAATGAAGACACTTTATTTCATTTTTCAATCAAATTGTTTCTGGCACACTCTTTCCTACTTGATCGCTTATGGAATTTTTTTTTAAGTGGTACTGAGATACATCAAATGGTATAACAGTTCACGTGTTATAGTATAAGGGATGACAATGTTGATCATTATTTTTTAACAGATATAATATCTTGACGCGCTTATTATATTAGAAAGACAGAATACGGAGTGGGTCATTTCTGAATTTAACAATTTAGTGCCCTAATCAATGATCATAATATGAGAGAGAAAACTAACGATATCATCATGTGTAAAAAGAGAGAAAATATTATTTCAGTAAAAAGGAGAGAATATAATTTGTGGAAAGAAAAATTAATTAATTGCAAAAATGTAGGACATGGGGGAAAGTCAAACGGCGTCGTTACGTCACCAGATTCATCCAGGTGAGGAAATTAAACGCGTCGAATTTCTGGGCCGATTAATAAAAAATAAATAGAAAGAAATCGGCTGAATATTTAATAGAAAAAAAATAAAAGAATTAGGGTTCTTCGTTCTGGTGGTACCGTACGTCGGATTAGGGCACGAATTTGGACCTTCGTCTTCTACAATTCCAACCCAGGTACGCAGCTCCTACAATCCCCTGCTTTTTATTTCCCCAGTTTCTGAATTTATTCTAATTTACGGAAAAAAATAAACGATTTTTTGCGAAGCCGGCCTGAAATCTCAAATATTTTGATACAATCGTTTGCGTTAGAAGCGCAGATAATTAATTAATTGGTTGGATTCTACTTTTGACTGATATAATTGCCTGTTGCTCTTGTTTGTAGCCCTAAATATTTTAATTATTTTAATTATTTTTTAGTTTTTCTGCTTTATTTTTGGTTGGATGAGTGCAAAGTTTACTGCTTTTATACTTAGGAAAATGAGTGATACTGAAGAGAAGGATGATATTGGACAAGAATTGCCAGTTGATGCTTTAAATAATGGGAAACCGGAAAATGATCACAACAAGCAGAATAATTCTCCGAATTCTGGAGATTCTGGACCGGTTCAGGAGACCCCGAATCCTGCTGAAAATGGTGAAACTCTACCCGTTAAGACAGACGTTGAGATGACCATTGATGATAAAACTAGTGTAGAAGTAGAACCACAGTCCATTTCACACCAATCTGGTCAAAATTTGCCTTCTCCTTCAGTCACAATAAATTGCGAGGACGAACAATTAGTCAAGCCAGATACTGAAGCCTTACAGGATGAAGATGAACAATTAGTCAAGCCAGGTACTAAACCCGTAGCTGATACCAAGAGTGCTGAAGCCCATGATTTGCCTCAAAGTAATAATCATGGTCGTGATGATGACAACGCTGTTTCCACAAGTCTTCCAGAGACTGTTAAACCTACTGTTAAAGCTGAAGTTACTCAAGTGCCGGAGCAGGAATCTGGTGCTGCTGCTGAAGAAAGTGTAACTGTGGGTCATAAGGAACCTGTTACGCCTCATGCCAGATCTTCTGATGTAAAAGCTGATTCTGGGAGTGGGGAAGAATTGAAGAATAAGGTGGATGAAAAAGATATTACTACACCCAAAAATAATGGAACCCCAAACTCAAAGGGCTTGTTCCTTTTAGATGACAGCGACATGTATGAAGGTAATGATTCTGGGACAGAAGAGGAGCAATCAGCTTTCATGAAGGAAGTGGAAAATTTCTTTAAGGAGAGGAGCATGGATTTGAAACCTCCGAAGTTTTATGGAGAGGGTTTGAATTGCCTTAAGTAAGCCTTTACTTGTCATTTTACTGATTCTGTCTTGTTTACTAATTATATGAATGTTATTTATTTCGACATTTTATTGGTACAAGGCTTTGGAGAGGTGTGATCAGATTGGGTGGCTATGATAAGGTATGCAACGTGCATTTTTACCTTTTAGTCGTAAAGGTCCATATGTTAGTATATGTACTTATATATATATATATATATATATATATATATATATTATGAGTTTTCATTTCCAGAACCATATTCTTTTCTTGTTACAATCACATATATGATCTGCCTGCTTACCGTAGGTGACCTCAAATAAGTTGTGGCGGCAAGTGGGAGAAGCCTTTAGACCTCCAAAGTAAGGACAACATCTGTTCAACTCCATTATTATTTACATAGTGCAAGCTCCATAACTTGGAGATGTGGAAATTTTAGAAGTACTGATAGTTTTCCTTAATTCTGTAATAGATTATAGTGAAACTGGGGGACTTGTTTCGTTGGCAATACGTTGTTGGTCATTTAGTTCTCCTTTGTTATTTTTAAGGGTCAACTTTGTGATGTTTATATCTGTTTACCATGCATGCTGTTGTGCAAAAGATAAAAAATTGAAGTAAAGTTACTGTGTTTCTAGGTGTGAAATTTCTGTAGTTCGTATTTAACCCTTTTGGTCTTGGAAAGTGGAAAAGGGGTGGGGGGAGGAAGTGGGTTAAAAACGTCCAGTATAGTTTACTATGTGTTAAAAGATACGTTAGTTTCTTTTCTATTTCTGCTGCAGGACATGCACTACAGTTTCATGGACATTTCGAGGTTTTTATGAGAAGGTATGTGTGCACACACTTGGCATGCAAGCTGCACCTTTCTTATAGATTCTCCATAGGTTATTAGTTGCTATGTGTTTGTAATTTCCCACCTGATCAAATTTGATACTGGATCAAGAAACATGGGATCGGGCAACCATAATCGTAGTCTCAATTGCCTGCTATGATTGAGAAAATCTGGGTCTGTCCATCTTCTTGGTGGTTGACCATGTGGATGTGTGCTTGAGTGGCCTGTGTTGAAAATTAATTGTAAAAGCTTCTATTCGAGTCACGTGTGGTTGCCTCAGTATATAAGTCCATTATGTCAAATCCCCTTTTAACAGTGATTTGTTAAATATCTTCCTTGGAGTATTCCAGATCATAATGTTTATATGTTATTCATTATTGGTTGTTCTTGTGTGACTTCAGGCACTCCTAGATTATGAAAGGCATAAATTTGGTACTGAACCGCCAATCTCTTCCCAGCCAGAGCCTATGAATGTTGATAACCAGGTAAGTTGTGATCTTATGGCCTGGGATCTTTTGGTAATGTTTTGTGTATTATTGTATTAGATGATTTTGCGGCGTTTATTTTTATCCCTCTTAGGTGGCATGGTGTTTATGCCACTTTGTTCATCTCATGATAAACTGTTTCATTGAATGAAAATGGTATCCATGTACTGCCGGGAACGCATATATTCATTATTATTCACATGAAATTTTTTAACACAATGAACTATTGCATGTCAACCTTGAGAATTGGTGTAATTAGTTGCTCAACAAGGAGTTTCTTCAATGAGCCGAACACTTAATGCATGATTGTGGTAATTAGGCTGCAGGATCAGGTCGAGCAAGAAGGGATGCTGCGGCACGTGCCATGCAGGGTTGGCACTCACAACGTATCACTGGGAATGGTGAAGTCAGTGACCCTATCATAAAGGTCTGGAAAGTATAAAGATTTTTGCTCTCACTTTCTTCTGTGTTTTACACTCTCCATGTGGAAGTTGGTTCTGATATAGCATTAACATCTCTTCTGTTTCTTTAGGATAAAAATGCAAATTCTTTGCAAAAGCGTGAAAAACAGCTTAAAAGCATCGGTATGGCCTCTCAATGGAATTGGCATCCTTTGTAATTATATAGTTGGTATATAATTTCTCACCTCAGATTTTGTATGTTGACATCAGGTTCACTTAAAAGAAAGAAGCCACCTTATGTGGAGCATGTGGTAAAAGCTGCACGTACTAAAGCATCTAAGTTGCAGTTGAGACAATGTTCAATTTTTATTTCATTTGTCTACATAATATATGAGGAAATTATTCAGTAACAGAGTACACTGTCGACATTTTACTGTAGTGTTAGCTTGGCTTTGTTTTGTGTTTGTTTGTGCAGTTTGGATGTAGAAGTGGTTGATCTTGGACCTCCAGCGGATTGGGTGAAGATCAATGTGCAGAGAACTGTAAGTTTATCCTCTACATTTTTGAAGTTTGAACACAAGGAAATTTGCATATGTGAATTTTTAAGCACCAATCCAGTATATTGAGATATGTCTTGTTTGCAGAAAGATTGTTTTGAGGTCTATGCTTTAGTTCCAGGGCTTCTACGGGAGGAGGTAAGTATACATATTCCTGAATCTGCGGTTCTCCTTCCTTTTGCTTTGCTACTGTACAATTCTTTACATTCTTGTAGAGATAATTTGTATATTCTTTTAGAAGACTCTGTATGCTAGTGCTTGTTTTGTTATGTTCTTATTAAGGATGGAATGGCAGATAATCATAAGCCACGTTATAAGAACAGGAAGTAGCATGATCGGACAAATTCACTGGCAATTTGTGCTGCAATCAACTAACTGTTTTGAGCTGGGGGAAAAAGGAACAAAAAACTGTTTAAAAGCGAACCAACTTCATTGATTGCCCTGATTTACTAAATGTGAGACTGGAGGAACCCAGCAAGTAGCCTCCTAATAACTTCTCGAGGCTGTTTCTTTGAGAGCTTTTGTTAAATTATGCCTTGGTAGAGTACATGTTTGCATAGAAAGGCCTGCTTGATATTTGTTTGACTTATTAAACATTAGGTTTCTGTTTCGGACTTCGGCAATTATATTACTTATCTTGTTCTTTCGGAAATCAATCTTAGGTGCGTGTTCAATCCGATCCAGCTGGGCGATTGGTTATAACTGGAGAACCTGAGCATCCTGATAATCCATGGGGTGTCACAGCTTTCAAAAAGGTGCGTTTCTTTTTCTTTCCTCTTTTGGGGTTATGAAATGTGAGAGAGAAACTAAGATTAGGGAGTGAACAGTTTCAAGAAAAATGAAGAAACTTTAGGGTTGCTTGAGAACTATATAAGAAACGAATCTTCCTTGGAAAATCGACTACAAGATCTAAAACCATGATGCCTTCGTAAGCTACTCGCTTCCAAAGGAACCGTGGCTGCTGTGTTCGTGTTAAACAGACC